TGTTTTATGTTATTCACATGTAATGGTAGCGCAAGCATCGATAAATACCGTTTTTCACGTTCTGCCTTCGCACGCCTCGATGGTCACACTCAGGGAAGACAGACAGCCAGGCGATGACTAAGGGGGCGGAAAAACAAAAACGCTCCCCACTTTCCGCCTATGGACCCGCCCATAACTGGCTTTTTTCGTGGTACGAACAGGGTATCGGCTGCTATGGGCGCCCGTTACTGATTCATGAGGGCTCAGCTGGTATGTAGGTGTGTCGCCATTTTTGTTTCGGCTGCTGAAGTGAATTGAATTCCCAGACGAGTGCAGTTTTCTGTCCATGTTACGAGCGATAAGGACGTCGCACAGCGCCACTGCGAAGGCATGTTTCCCCTCTTTGTCCGCCGCGACATGGGCCGGTGTACTTAGTGTAGCTGCATGGTCACCCAGTGGGTACTGGCCCGGCAAAGAGTACTTACTACTTATTCCATGGCACGCCGTTGGATGTGTGATAAGTACGCTGGCTACACGACGAGTTGATTTTATCCACACGCTTCGTTTTTCTTCCCTTTTACGTCTCTATGTCACTTCTAAACATGCCGAATGATCTTGATGGTTGATATCTGTAAAGCGACAGTGTCACACGAGTGTAGTATGTTTATCTGTCTCAACAAATTCCTACTTTCATAAATATACGGCGTACCTTGCATGTGCAAAGTAAGCATCTTGCATGAAAGGAGCAAGCGAAAAAAACATCAAAAAGTGCAAAACACAAGGGGCGTAGTCAGAACGCACTTAAAAAAAAACAATACGGTACATGACAAGAATGTGTGTGCTCACACGTTATATCCATCCCATCCGTTACATCAATTGGCATACGAATATAACTATATGATCACCTGGTATAGCTGAAATTCTTAGAAGATTTGCTTTTGTTTGACATGAATGAGGATATGAATTAGGTATTGCAGAATCGTGCAACGCAATTATGTGCTTACTTACTGTTTTGCAACAACTCATCATGATTTGCCAGGGGAAGCGTTCTGAGCTCGGCTGATCACCAGGCTTTCAGGAGCTGAGACTGCCCTCCTCCAAACATAGATCCCACCCGTTACGAATCTGTCTGGTTTCCCACCATATTACCACATATGTAGTACCTAACCCGTTTTCCAAATCTTCCGGTTTCCTTTCTCGAGAAGCTGTAGTACGCGCAAGGATGTCTTCATGTGCGTGCACAGTGTTGTCTCGATAACACGCGCCCGTGAGTCCAGTACCGGGGGAGGGGACGTCTGATCTACATAAGTCGCCTCTCTGAGCCACCGGTATATCCTCTCACCAAGGCCGGTTTTTCACCGACGACCTCAGTCGGCATTTACTGCCGCTTTTTCGGCAGCTGCGGTCCCACGAAGGGCGCCCGGTGACCTCGACACTGTCGCAAACCTCGGAGACGTCGCGTGCCTTCCAGAGACCCCGTGCCACGCATACCTTCCACGCGACTGCGCATACTTCTATCCTTTGGTTGGATAACCTTGGGGCCAGCCCGTGCCCTCAGTTTTGGACGGCGGTATAGGCTCGGGCGAGCATTCGTGGTTTCTCGCGCACGCGGGGGTCTTCTGAGAAAGCTCGTGCCGAATGCCCCAGAGGCGGTGCAGCGGTGCCCAGAATGTGAGCCGCTTCCGCCAGAGCGTTGTGCTGCCAACTGCCGTGACTGGCCGTGAAATGGTAAACAATGGGCCTCGCTGCAGCGGGTTCGGCATGCATGGCACTCATGTCGGGTCCATTCTGCATTCAGAACGCAATGAACACCGCACCCTGGCCTTGCAACTGCATTCCACAAGCTGTTTGAGCTGCGTCAACGTGCACTGTTCGGTCTGTGACGTCTTTGGAGTCTGACAATCACTGAATAGAGGAGAGCGGACCTGGAGCGGACTCTAACGAAGGCCGCTCGCCGTGCCCTCACCTGCCGCGCCCATTTGGGGCGTCCAGTGAGCGCGTGCGGCCGCGCTGTTTTTGTCCACCGTGCGCCACATACGTCGCTGGGCGGTCCGGCGCCGGTGGTCGGGGTGGTGGTGTCTGAACTGACACTGAGAGGCGCGCCGGGGTCAGACGGGTAGTTAGTCCAGGTCAGTCGGGTCACAGCGGGGTCAGGGCAGCGGGTGGAGTGCGCCGGACAGTAAACAACGTCACGGTCGAGGCACCGGTCAGTCGCGGATACACCACTGCGTGGAGGATTTAACGAGGGTCGGCCTGGGTCACAGGTGGTTCGACAGGGTTACATGAAAGACTGTTCAGCGCAACGCGAGCCCTGAAGATCGTCCCAACGCATAGCTCTTTGCAACGTATGTCTGCTTGTCCAGCACCAAACGTCCAACATCCCTAACAAGACTGCAGCAAGTAACGGCCCACCAGTGATCTAACCTCTCCCGTATGATCGGTCACTCACACAGCACTCCGTGATCGATCATAAGCGCCGAGACGCAGCGTGCCGCGAGATGACCGCCCATAAACGCCGACTGATTAGCCCGGCGAGGGGTTATAAATCAGAACCGGTGCCACCAATCGGGTGCGTCATCGTTTCGCAATTACAAGGCCGCTTCTTGTGTGGATCGATAGTTCGGAGATAACATCTGTTGGAACACGTGTACTGGAACAACAGCGCTGCGCAGTGCGCAGTGAGGATGTCTGAGCATTGCTACCGGTCGTTGGGGGCGGTGGAGCGACTGCAGCACGTGGTGGTGACGTCATAGGTCAGATATGACGTGTAATAGTGACATCACAGGTCACATCAGCCCAGCCAGCAGGGACGTAACGGGTCATAAACGGGATGACCAGTGACCTCTTCATTGATCGGCGGTGTGCTGAGCAGGCCGGCCCGGCACACGAAGTCTCCGACGCGTGCTGACCCGTTCAGGGATGACCGTTGTGACCCATGGGTCGTGTCGACAGTGACCTCACATCTCTGCTTCGAGTCACTGCGGTCACGACTCGGTTGAGCATGATAGAGGCATGATAGGGCGGAGAGTCAGGCCGCGATGGCAGGCAACTGCCGGCACGCCCGCACGTGCATTCGTCTGGTCCTGTATGTCCGCCTGCTTGTGCTTTTGGTCTCTGTCTCCTTTCAATTCCCTAGATTCTTTTCTTCTGCAATCTTCCGCTTCTAGCTTTACATTCCTCTCTTCCCTTCCTCCCTGGACCTCTCTCCCACTACCCCAGCGGCTCAGACAAATGACCCACCCCGACCCAACTCGCCTCGGCTCACTAAACCCACTGCACGGCGCGACTCTGTCCCCCGGCGGCGCCGGCGCGTTTTTCTGCTGACGGCAGTATGACGGATGGCGCGTCTCGCCGATCAGCAGACTGATACGGCTGTTGACTCTCCTCGGCAGCAGACGCAGCCACAAACACACCCCGACCTACGGACTGTGTGCGCGGGACAGCCGCCTCTCTCAGCTGCAGAGGTCGCCGGCTCAGCTGCAGCTCAGTGTCGCCGGCTGGAGTGGGCTGGTCTGGGATTCCAGTCCGGCGCTATACAAATGACAAATGACTCACTCTTGTTGAGGGAGCCGCTGATTCATTCGCGCGTCGTTCTGTTGATGGATTGCACGGGCGTTTTTCGGCGGAACTCGGGTGTTTTGCAGTGGTGAATGTGGTCTCCGGTGATGTGACCTCTGCCGGGGGCGTGTCGGAAAACACGGCACCGCCGCCACACGGGCCGCTAACGGTGCTTCAGCCCGGGCCTGGGCCGCGTGCTGCCTCACTGCAGTGCAGATGGTAATGACTGCCCAGGCAGTGAAGATCATTTCTCACCGAGGGACTCAGTGCTGCTATGTAGGATGTCCTAACCGGAGTTCAGTCGAAAATGTGCTAAACTTTGATAAGGACCAACGTTAAGAGAACGTTCGTTACCTCGTCTAACAAACGGACCCTGCTGTTGCATTGGAATTTCAAACCCTTCCCATCTTGGATAATGGCAACGCTTATAAAAGGCATATTTCCTTATCCATACAATTGTGGGTTCGTCTGCACGAGTTAACTGGTATTTCCAATATGCATGGAATACTGCTATCATTCCCAGAAACTGCGAACTGAAAATTCGCGAACCGATTTCAATCGCAATGACTACGTCTCGGGAAGAGCTATGCAGCCACACGTGGAGGAATGAGAATATTATCGTGTCAATCAGGAGGCATGCTTGAAGGCTAAGGCAGAACGTTAAATCATTCTGCTCGATCTCAGACGAGTTTGTTAGTCATCTGTCTTTCCAGTCAGAAGACATCATGTCCGTGCTGAGGTTACGTAAATGTGATGCAAACCGTTCATTGGCTGACCTTTGCGTGGAAGGTAATGCCTTTCTTGCTGCCTATCGTCAGACCTAAATTTCTGTGGAATTCTAATAGGCAAACGGTAGCCCTGGAATGGCATGATATTCCGAGGAATTGATGCAATAAAGATTATCTCTTTCTGAATAGAGTCAGTGCCACGCAAGGGGCCGTATGCTAATGTCGCCGTCGTATTTCACTCCCGATTTGATTAGTAAGGTGAAATGCATTTAAACTAAAAAATTTCAGCCTTGCCATTGTGGTACCGGCACCACTATTTGACTATTTCCAGTGCAATTGTTTTTAAAACGTCGTCTGGGGATTTATGCAATTCCGCTGAGCCTGTTCCTTGCAGTGTCGTGTTTTATGCTGCTATCGCTTTGCCTTACCTTCCGAGCTGTCATTTCACCGGTTAGGCTGCTCTCAGGTTTGAGTTTTGTTTCTCCAATGCAGGATCCTCTCCCGATCCCGTTCGGTCCTTTCTATCCCTTTTGACCGTCTCCTGGCTGTATTCCCCCACCCCACGACGGTACTCGGGTACTCCAGCCCTGCCCTCTCTGACCCATTGCTTAGAGTTATTGACTCAATGTCCCCCTGACCTTCCCCTGTCCACACTTAGCCCCTGGATGGCCCCCTGCCACCCTCTGACCACGCCGCACCCCTTCTGACCAGTCTCCCCGTCTCGTCTCTCCGCAGAGCTCCCTGATGCGACAGGACAACGAGCTGTTTCGCCAGCTGCTAAGTCTGCACGACTCCATCGAGGCCCTGAAGCACGGCGACGGCTCTCTGTCCGCCGGATCTTCACTGTGCTCCCTGGCAGATATTGAGGAGGAGGACACGATATCGACACCTTCGACCGACCTCGACCGACAGAGCCATCTATCGACGGAAACCGACAACCTATCGGTGGGTACCCGGGGCTATAGTTGGGTGATGGATGCCGTGGAGAGTATATGAGGCGTTCCTGAGATGCATCGCGGTCGTGCGCGAGGTTAAGTGGCGGAATGAAATGTAAATGTCATGTGTGGGCGATGATGGATCTAATAAGAAGCTGTTTAAGATGCGAGGTCGCGCCGTCGGGTCAGCCCCTGCCCGGTAGATACCGTGAGTGACGGATGTCTGTTTTTCTTTCAGCTGGTGAAAGGCGACTCGGGCTCAGAGCGGTCGTTCTTCTCAGAAATTCTCCACGTGACCGGAATGTCGCAGTGGGCCAAAACGCGCCTGCTCGGACCAGGTCTGACTGCGGCGCAGGTGGCGCCACCGTCGCCCCGCCAGGTGGCGCTACCGCCGCACTCTCCCGCTGCCGAGAAGGCTCCTCTGCGGAGACACCGTAAGCAGGGCTCCTGTGACTCTGGTATTGTGGATCAGGAGATTCGCGGCCAGGCCTGAGCACTGCTATGACGTCAGTGAAAGAAGTCGGTGGTCATGACGTCCTAAGACATCATCTGATGTGACGTCATTCGGTAGCCACCGCGTTTCCTGGCCAGCTGCGCAGGCCAGACTTGTGATACAGCAAAGACTCATCAAGAGCCAGACTACGTGCTAGTGCGTCACATCAGCCGCTCCGGGCGGTGTCACATGACGTGACGTCAGTAGTGGAAGTCGGGCTGTCGTGTCCATGGCGGAACCCGCGCAATTGTATAGTCAAAGGCTGTTGAATGATGTGTGAGCGAGTGATTTGACGACGAACGTGAGATCTCAGTCACCGTGGGCTGCGAACAGCTGATTGATGACGTCAGAGTGACGTCAGAGGTAGTGATTGATGAAAACTGTCACGTGATTGGTTCGCAGTCGTCTGAATCCTGTGCTTGCATGATTTGCTTTGGTTTGTTCCCATACGCCCCGTGGCTTGTCACCCATGTCGTACCGTACCCATGTGATAACTTAGCTGAAGTCATATCAAACCTAACACACCAGAACATTTACTAACGGCTCCATAAGATGGAAAACTTGTAGCAGTCAGGATACACGCAGCCGGGATATTACATATTCCGATGGCACGGTGTATTGAGTCCCCCCACCCGTCGCATGGCAAAGAACCCTGTGTTACACTAGCGCCCTGTATATGAATTGTCCGTGTCCTGTAAGAGCTCCGTGCTCGTTGGAACCGTAGCACGCATTAGGTAGGTAGATGGCCACCCATTGAGATTGTTTGAACTGTGTGAAATGACAAATAAACATGGCTCCTGTGAAATGTGAGTTTGAGTCGTATTGTTAATGATCCAGATCACGAGGCACGATATAAGCGTGAAACATACGAAAAGGGAAGACCGTTTTTACTATTTGTGTACAAGATGTAGGTACCACTGATCAGGTCATCTGGTCTAGGTAATATCAGAGGAAGGTTATGTAACATGCTAGGGACACAACCATACTTGTCAGCTGTCACTCAATGTCTAGACCACGAGCAATCTCCCGATAAAAAGTGGGTCGTCTCAAGAAGCTTCGATCATCGATGCCTCGAAGCTCGAGTTTCGATTCAAATCACAGACCATCCTTTAGCAGGTAATTTTAAAGCATCATTACACAGAGCTTCCACCCCCAATCCACCCACCGATCGTCAAAGAATGACAGTGCAGACGTTCTTCGGACTGGTGTCTGTCCTGCGGTACAGCATACCTTCAGGCGTTTACCCCTGCTGCCATCTAGCGACAAAATTATAAAGCTGAGTAGCTCAACACGAGACTCACGCTCGAGGCAAGTGGCAAGCACAACAATTACAAAGCATGATTAAGGATAAGAAAAGCAAAGAAATAACCGAAAGTAAGTGGCGATCATGGCAATATCGTTCTTAGAAATAAGATTCAAGCCGAAACGGCATCGCACGCTACAGAGTCCAGGCTCGGATGTTTCGTCTGATCGTCTACAGGTGTCAGCACCACTACCTTGCTAGATGTCAGCACTATGCACCACAGATGGCAGCACCTTAGCACAGCCGCCGGGCCCATAGGCAGCAGGTGGTCGGGAGTGGCGGGACGGAGCGGCTCAGATTGTATCCATGCCGCCGGCCAACTGGAACTGGCTGCCCATCTCCGGGTGAGTGGGACGGCACGTGACGTGACGATTGTCACGTGACGGTGTGACGGGTGTGTGTGGTGGGTCACCTGACCAGGTGAGGGTGCTGTGATTAGGTACTGGGGATGTGCAGTGTGCACTGTACAGCGGTCAGCATTCTATTATAGAGCATATAAATATGTGTACATACATATGTATGTGTCATTTGTTAGTGAAATATTTGTGATGATAACTAAGACCACGACTCTTGGGCCGTGCTCTTAGTAGACTTTGGCCAGCCATTGCTTTCCGCGGACTTGACAGTGACCAGTGACCATGGTGATCCTTCATTGACTAAAGATCCCGGTAGATCCCCCCTCCCCCCTCAGAGGCTGGTGGAGACTTATTATATCATGACAATTAATTGTAAATAAGAATGGTTCTAATCCTAATAACGCTGGTGTGGGTACTCGCAGGCGCAGGAATCTAACAATAAATTCAGTGACCCTTTTATCGCTGCATCGATCCGGACCATTCAACCTCATCAGATTGCTGTTGGAATGCATTAACATTTAGTTCCAGGTGTAGGGCGCTGCAGTGACAGCAGAGCGTTGGACTAGATTTAGGACACAGCATTTGATTTGCAAACTAATCAAACTAATTTGCTCCTTCAATCGTACAACCATAGGTAAACCATCCACATGGCCATTGGTAATGACCCATGCATCCTATCCTGACAGTTGACACACATTCACTACCAGCAGTGCCAGCAACGACGTTCTCCATCCCTCACCCGATTCCAGCAGTGTCCACTGCCCATGCTCGGGATTCCCCATAGTTGAATCCACACCACCTCCTGTACTTCACCTGTCTCTTCCTCGTGACAGACGCAGCACGACCCAGCGCGGGCTATTTTCGCCCTCGGTGGCACCTCATCAGCATATTGCGTGATGGGAGGTCTCCAGCACAGCTGCGTCTGGCGGCTACCACAAACAGACTACCCATGGGCTGTGGTGCTGATTGATGTATTGAGCCCATGATCCTGCTTAGTGCTTCTTCGGCCGGTGCATTATATTACATATAACTTTGCATAATTAGGTATACCTACATTCTTTCTCATCCAAGTTCTGTCACCTGTTACCCAGGTGCACTAGATACATGATTCACGTTGGCAGAACGCGCCCTCTGCTAACGTTTACTCTTTCAATCGCATCTGGAATTTTGTAATTGCCCCGCATTTCAGACATCCTATACGGGTCGGTCACAAGCACCACATTCGAGCTTTTCTGAATCGCGACGCGTCATTGTCCCAGCATAGTCATTATGCCCTAAACGTTCCCGGATTCTCTCCATTGTTATAAGCCTTTCCCCACTGCGTCCCGGCCGTCGCATTCCGTTCGCTCCCGCCTATGCGAACGGTGTGTATGCGTTTCCGGTAACCAAGGTCATCCTCACACCTCTCGGACCGTTTTGAACGTCCGGTCGGACTCAGGACGTCAATCTAGGCCATGACCTTGACCGTTTGACCTTCTCTCGACACCGAGGAGCGGGAGGGGAGGGGAGGGGCGCCTATGTCGTGATGTGTGACGGTGATAATCGTTCAACTCCCTCGGTGGCCAGAGTAGAATGAGATAACTGACGCTAACTAGCGGAGCGGAATGTGAACTAATAAGCTGTAAATGATGCGGCTTGTAGCCGAGGAAGAACTAAAAACAAAAACTACCGATCATTGGCTAGCCGAGTGGAAAATAAGAACCTCAATTAGAAAGCCATTCAATCTCGAATATAATTATTTGCATGATGCTACCTGAGACTTTAAGTGTAAATGGGTTCAAGGCAACTGCACACGTGAGACGTTACAATAAACAATGCATGGCGTCATGCAATCGTATTGAATAATTGCAGAACCTTCTATTACATGAACTTGACCCAACTATGACTTGGCCTTGCTTTGCTCTTTTCTCAATTTGTCACAACACTGAAATCCCGCACTGACATAACTGATATTCATTTCAGCTACACCGGTCACTGTCCGGGCCTCAAATATGACGTGGGTCACTCGTTCGACTGGGTGGTGCGCCACTTACGTGAGGTGAGTCCCCTCCCCTCCCTCCCCTCAGCACACACATGGCGTGCCTGTGACTCCCGCCGGCCGCCGGGACACTAATTAACCGTCTCCTGAAGCATGTTATCGCGTTATACGGCCCTTAGACAGAGTCGCAGGTGGACCACAATAGCACGCCGGGCCGGGGAATGTCAGGGACAAGGCCGTGGTTCCGTCGATGGTAGACGTTTCTGGTCGGCGACAACATGGGACTTGTCGAGAGGAAGGAGTGCTGCTGTGACAGGAAATGACTTACGGAAGGGGAAGACTGGCAAAATAAGCTATTTTTGTATCAGCAGGCAATTATGTAACACTGAATGGAAGTCTGAGATTGAATTAACTAGATAGAGGAAGCCGAGTTCAATGAATGACAAGATAACAACGGGGAACACATGCGTAGTTTAAACGAAAACCCGCAATGAAGACTTCAAGTTCATTAGCACCCGTAGCCTCAAGGCCATTGACTTTTATGTAAGGTCGCCAAACGACCAACTCGCTCACGGGGCTACATTGCGTTACAAACTTCCATCTCGCTCGTTTCGGAGTTTCTCCTCGAACCCGTGACGTGTATAACCGGCGGCCTTGTGTGTGGGCCGATCACGTCATAGGCTCCATGACAACCAGGGTGCGGCTGTCCGTCGCCGCGGAACCCACCGGTCGCAGGAGCGGTCGATAGGCCTAACGACGGACCGACGGGTGGGCAGCGCAAGCAGGGCAGTCAGGGGCAGTCACCGGCCGGAGGTCGCGGGGTCTGTCGTGTTGGAGGTGGTGGGAGTCCAGGTCAGGACAGGTCAGGAACGGTCAGGGGAGGTCAGGAGTGGTCAGGAGCGGTCAGGAGTGGTCTGTGGTACAGACTAGCCCGACTGCGGAGGTCACTGCGTGTTACCTGCTGACCTGACCAGACCTGTCAAGCCGTGACCTGACCTGACCCCCTGCGGTGCAGACATCACACGAGCATAGGTGGTGCCTTCTGTGGTCCCTGTACTATGCCGGTATGTAAATTTCGTTCGAGGCATTGTCAAAACATTCTCGATGCGACGTGTTACATAACAGCTTGTTGGTTCCATCAGGACCTAAGCATCATCGGTTTTGTAATACCTCCGAGCTCCGAATCTCCGAATGCCACCGAGCATTTAACAATAAGTTTGATAATTCAGCATGACTAGTAAAGAAACTGACTATCGTATATCATGCAAACCGTGTGTGCTTATTGTCCACTACCTTGCTTTGCTGGCCTTACCTCACCTGCCTTTCCCTCTCTAAGTTGGCCTCTACCTACTGTCTCTCTAACATATTCTGTCCCCTTCTAACCCCGTTGACCTCTCCCCGCAGATAAACAGCGGCCCTTCTTACAATCACGTGGTGGTGACCCCTCACGGTCACTCGGTGGGTGACGCGGGCAGCGGTCAAGGCGGACCGGCCGACGTGGCGGACAGCTCTGCACCGGGCGGACACCTGACACCGACCCACTACCCGGCTATGCCCCGCGGCAGTATCGCCGGGTACACAGGTCAGTGGAGTGAGCGTGGAGTGTGTGTGTGGGAGGGGGGGGGGGGCAGTCAGTGGAGGACAGGGTTGGCCAGTGGAAGACAGAGGACGGTCAATGAGACGCAGTCCAGTCTACCGGTGGTGGGTCAGCGGGCGGTCATGGTGAATCGGATCGGTCAGAGTTATTCCTGGGAGCGTTGGTCAAGTGGTCACGGCCGGTCGGTCTTGGCTAGTCGGTCGTGGCTGGTAGTAAGGCTCTGTTGCTCGGATTCTGTTGGTCAGGGAGGAGGGAAAGACACGGAATTAGGATCACGGTAGCGTGATGGTCGTGAAGAAAACCGTGACGAGATCCGCTTTCTCGCAACAGGAACCAGGCTTGTTCGTGAATGAAACCTTTTTGTGCGGAGTTCATTAAACCTTCCAGTTCGGTAAATCGATAGCATGGTGCACGATTGGTTCATGATTCGCTGAAAACATCCGTTCGGCTAAAAATACAGCCAATTCGACATCAATCCGAAAGCACGCGGGGACTTTTAACTTTGTCGTTAAATTGTGGCGACACAAAACTGCATCGCTCACTTGAAATTCCCGGCTATCGGGTTGCCCGGCACCGCCTCAAAACTCGCCTCGCGGCCATCGCCCTTCCGTGGCGCCGTCAGCCGAATATGCACAGGCACACACCTCTACCGATTGTAGACGGTGTGCTCAGGCACCACAGCCCGCGCCGAGGGCTCGACAGGCACGCCCGGCCCCGGCAAACACGGATATGACGTCAGAGGCGGGTAAAAAAAAAACGACGGACGACCGCCGCGCCGGGCCGGGCAAAAAATAGGTAACGTGATGGAAACAGAGGCGACAATTAGACGGCGACTTTTGGGATGATGTGAGTGCCTCTTTGGTCTTTTTCGGAATCGTTATGCTTGATCGTTGTAGGTATACTGTAAATATATTCAGACAAAGCAACTTAGATTATTTAGCCAAACGTCAACTACTTCTTTCAGCCTCTCTATTTTCTTCTCCAAGCTCCTTTAGGAGTTGGAAAAGTGCTACCTGGATTTGAAATTATTTCCTCAACACAGATGCACTTCTCTTCATGCCATACCAATTGTACACTCTAAACGTAACGAGTGTTGGCTTCATCCTGGGTCGCGTGTCGTATAGCGCCAATCGACCTCAGTGGCCAACCGTTATACGTCCGTCCGACCGACCGGCCTAGAGCCTGGACTGTTCGCTAACTTCGTCACCAAAGTGGCGTCGTCACATACCGTGTCAAGCAGGCCCTCAACTGCGCACTGGCCGACCCCCAGACAGCCTTCCGAGTATAGACGTGCTGTCGCAGTTTTATTTGATGAGTTGATCGCAATCGAAAATGACGCAATGTCATATGTCAGAAACTGCTTAAATGTTTGTGTTTTTAATGCCTATGCAAGACACGTTTATTAAGCAGTGACTCTGTAGCTGTTACATGCCTTTTGAGGCTGTTACTGACATGGAATATTCAGACTCCGGTAGCCTATATCTAACGCCCTGGCTCATACACTTTTGAACGCGTCATTTGTACCTGCATACTGAAATATACAAACACTATTCTTAGGTGTCTTATACAAACACTACCAAAATATTTTTACCAGCTCTAGCAAATAACCGGGCATGAATTACCATCGCCATTTTACCCATTTTAAACATCCAGCTGGGTAACTCCAAAAGCAATCAACTCCGAGTGGAGCCGACCGTGATAATTTCATCGGTGGAATGGGTCTGAGTGACGTTCACTGCCAGACCTTGACATGTTGGTAGCAACGGCGCACGGACGCGGTAGGGACGGTCGGCTCCTGCAGAAGTTATGTCTGCTGGCGGCATGTCTGCCGGCTGCATAACTATATCAACTGCTCAGGTCATCAACGGGTGATGACACTCAATTACAGGACGTTATCTACAACTATGTACACTTACATAGCTTGCAGATGAATGGGCGTTTGACGTGCGGAATACTAAGTAAAAGTAGACTGTATAACTAATTGATATGTGCAATCTAAATGGTTTGTTTCACTACTGACACTAGTGTTTCCGTCGACAGGTTTCATCCCTGGTCAGCACCAGCAGGTGGGGCTCAACTACCACAGCGCCTCGGACGCCTACTTTACCGACCTGGAGCGGCAGGCCAGCACGAGGAACCAGGACCGCGCCGCCAGCCGCGTGCGCAGTGCCGGCGCCGGCGCACAGGGCATCAACGTGAGGACGGCCGAGGGGCCGGCGGCGACCCCGACGCCGACCCCGCCCGCGGCACAGCCGACCGCCGACCCCGCCGGCATCGACAACAAGTATAGCCGCTACTCCAGCACGCACAAGTCCGGTACGTATCCTATCTAGCTGTTCGATTATGCTGTGAGCGACGCATTGCCGGGGCCTTATCACTTATGTTCATAATGGAGTTTGGTAATGTGTGAGGATAATCGTTACGGGGCTAGTTGGATTATGTTTCTGGCATTATGTGCGGAAAGCTTGGACATTATTTTATTACTTCTCTCAGAAGTCAGAGCCATTATTCCCCAAAAGTCTTTAGCCATTGTTCCTGGTTAAAAGATAAAAACAGCCGTGAACACCAACTCACCCTATATGTATAGTTTTTGCATGAGCATTACGAGATGCATGCAGCGAGCAAATAAATCAATTAAGTGTCGTTTCATGCATAGCGGAATACTGAAGGAAGCCTTGTTGTACACAGGTTTCCATGGACATATTTCGCCTTTATTGACCACGCTGGAAGGTTCCAGTTTTACGACCGTCGGCTATGCATAAACTGTCAAACAATAACTTCTGCCTCGAGTACCTAAGCCAGGGCTCTCAACACAATGTTTAACTGAATAATCCATAATCAATCACCAAATTAAGAAGCATCATGAAATTCGGCATTTGTTTCGGCCGTGCCTGGACGCAAAATCATTGTTTACCAAACAAACAGTTCGTTCCAATGACCGGTGTTTGTTCCGTTTTCCTGCAGCCACCAAGGAGGCGATTCCGATCGCAGGCTACGGCGGATTCGTGCCTCTCGCCCGGACCACGCAGATCGGCGTCGGCAAGCCGTTCCAGCAGTTCGCCAATGAGGGATTCTCGAGAATGCACGAGGTGAAGGACCTCTACAAGAGTCCGCAGCAGCCGAGCACCGTGGTCGCGTAGTCGGTCCGCCCGCTGTGACCTGAGTGACCCAGGCCAGGTCACTGGGTGACCTTGAGTGATCAAGTGGTCAGAGGCCTGTCAGCAGTCGGTGGTGGAGTCTGGAGGGAGTTCGCGAGCTTTTCTTTTTAGGGGGGCGGCCTCAGACGTCAGGTGCGCCTTTTTCAGGAAAGGTTTCAGCATTTTGACGTCACAGAAATGTAGTTCGGTTCACACCGCAAGGTGTTACCCGAGGTAAACTGCGAACTTCGGCAATAAGAAGCATCTAAGGAATGAGAGGAGAGTATTCGTATGCTCAACGTTTTCTTTGGAGCTCAGTTTAAAGGGACCCTCCCACCTTAACATTAGTTTTGAGTTGAGATAGCCAAATTGGTGGCCATGGCCTGAAAATACCGGTTTGGGCATTCACAACATCGAAAAATGCTTTAATTCGGAGATATGGAATTTCAAACTTGCAGTTTTCGGATTCTAAGGGGCTAATGCATTGGTATGCCCCATTAGAATTTGTGACGTCAGCGGAGATCTAACGATTTTTAAATCTTTTACTAAAACGTTTGGCAGCACGCGGTGGTATATGCTGCTTTGCGCGCAACAAATGCCGCACTTTCAAATAAAGTCGCTAGGAACAGCGGAGATCCCAAAAAGTAAACAAAAGTAAAAGTCTAATATCTTGAAAACCGGTGAATATTTTTCGATGAAATTTGGTAGATATTCATTTTTGCTCTTTCTGAACCGAGCGACATCACTTTCATGCAAATTCATTAACTTTTTTGAAGGTGGGAGGGTCCCTTTAACTGTAGCCGGTAGCCTATCACTTCTCGAAAAATGCCTATTTATCATTTCAATTTTCATTATTTAAATTCGAAATGTGATGTGATGTTCCTTTGTGGCACTTAAGAGGCTCTAGCATACCTTCTCTAAACTGTCTGACTCTTTTCTGTGCATTGCTGTCCAATTAAGTGAAATTCAACCGCCTGTTCTGCTAAGGCCTGAAACAGTCTTTGGCCATGGATGTCTTTAGCCATATCACATATGAAGCTCATGCTTCCAATTACCTACCAATCTGCTATATTCCTAAAATTTTCATAATATATTCATCAGAGCTGATATAGGTAACTCTGCTTTGACCTGGTGCCTCCATTTCATTTCATCAGTCCTTTGGTTGGTGCATATGTATAGCATGTTGATTATCTGTTTACCTATGTAAATATAGAGTGCTCTATTCTTGCTATGTCGCCTTTTTATGCCTTCTTTTTTACTTAGCCCTCGGTTAGGGAAGCTCGATCACCCTTGCCCGTATTTCGGACCAAGGAAACCCGACATTGGCAGGGCTGCGACGGCCGCTGCGGGAGCTGTTTTAGGCCGGAGCCGCCGCGCTGGTTGTCACTTTGGCGGCAGACCAAACACGACCGACCGACACACAAGGTCGCGGACAAACACAGGAGCGACTCGCGTGAGAGACTGGCGCCAGCCGTCACGGCAACGCAGAGAACGACACGACACGGCACGAGGAGATGTAGAATGGCACCACACAGTACGGGAAAATATAGAACGACACGGCACGGGAAAATATAGAACGGCAGGGCACGAAGAGACATAGAGCGACGCGATACGGGACGGGCAAATATAGAACAACACGGGACGGAACGGGAGCCTGTATGACAAACAGGCACAGCGAGAGTAACTTTGGAACGTTTCAGTAGGCCATGAAGTGAAATGCTACGAGCTAAAACAATTTTAAACGACACTTTGCTATTCTTACGCTTCAACTTTGTATGGTAGGAACATCAAATCGTGACAAAATACTCAGCAAACGCCAAACCCCCATCCCAGCACGACATGATTCGTACATTACTTCACTTCACATCACTTCACCACATCAGACACGAGAAACAAGGGCGATTGGGGGAAGTCGCGTTCAATTTATCGCCCAAGTGAAAGTCAAGATCCTGGAAAACCGTAGGAACTAGGAGGAGAAGCACGAATGATTGAAATGGTAGACCAGATCACAGGATGGATAGCATGGAACATAAAAACGGCAAAAACTAGGACGGGATTATTTATTCAAGTCACTCTCACGCCCGTGATTGCCTTACTGGCGTCACTACACAATCACGGTCGGACGGACTGACGCCCGGCAAACAATCGATGCAAGGTGCAGTCCGAGCGGCGACCCCACCCTGGACCTTCACCTTGGGTCTGCGCCATGAACTTCGCGTCAGGGACTCCAGAACGCGTGGCAAGGAGTGGTCCAAAGAATGGACAATTTGACGGCGGGAGTCAAGTGAGACACTTTTCGGCTTGACAGAAAGTGATAGAGTGCATATTTTTTTCTTGGAATATTTTGATCAATACCTAATCTAACGTTCATATTAACAACAGACTCAGATGTCAGTTTAAATTTCATAATATTTTTGAATACCTTCAAGCGTCATTTCCAAAATAAAAACATAAAGAATGGGCAAAGTTGAAAGTTCCTCATATGAGCTTCGGTGGAACGTTACGAAAGAGGACGAGCAAATCGCAAACCATGAATCGTAAAACACTAATTACCCTCGACGCAAGCATTTCGTGCACGCTAAATCAGAGCCCGTGTTTGCTGTCAGCGCTATGATAACGCTGCCGTGTTGCAGTTAAAACGAGCTGCCGCAATGTCCCATTCAGCCGTGATTGGTGGTCCCCGGCGACGCACCACTGCACCGTGGTCCGATTAGGCCCACAGGCAGTGCCGTCTGGCAGATATATTGACAACTAGAGGTTGGCAACTACTCCACCAGGCTGGGTTGACGGTACCTCTCACCAGGTGGCGACTGGGCGCTGGCCCGCCCACCGGCTAGAGCTCTTTGCAAGGGCCACTAGTGGAATATCGAGCTAAGAAAATACTGCCCACGTCGCAAATTATTGTTACGAGCCGTCGTACACTTGGAAGATCGGTATCACGAGGGCATGACAGGAAAATATGGACAAAAATACGGAAGAAGGGACTGGCTAAGGAGCCAAGAGGGCGTCAGGAAATGCGTTTCTGAAACGGTCGCAGCGTTTTTACCTATGCTCATTTCATCACACGTGTGAGATTAGCCTAATCGAAACTGGAAAAATGGAACTTCTTCGAGAAAAAAAGATCCAGAAAAGTCCCTCGTCTATGTTTCCTGACTTCGGACGCCCTATCAAGCTGTTTTCCGGTCAGAAGAGAGGCGATCTGACCTGGGAGGACGCGAGGCTTGGTGATGACCTGGGAAGGCGAGGACGGGGATCCGAGGATGCGTAGATGATAAGCCGGGAAAGTGATCCCAGATCCAGACCTCACACAACGCCCGACAAACGCAGCTATTTACCTTTCTGCCATGGTGCAGAGAATGCGGACTCCACACAGGTTTGAGCTCGTTGGAGACGGACTGAACAAAAACTGCTTAACGACAGCTATGGGAATTCACGACGTGCATATGCGTAATGAACAATGTCATCTTTCTTAGCACAGCAGCCGATCTCTGAGAACCACTCACTACTCAGCATTGCGTTCTTGCAAACAGCATACGAAATCTGACTTCATCAATAGGTAATCGTGATGTCAAAGTTCATGGTGTCATACAGTGCGTTCCCTTCAAATGGTTGTGCGTAGGTACTCACACAGCCAAGCACTACAGAGGAGGAAATGCTTGCTTTAGCTGATGTTAGCTTTATTTTGTTTTTGTTTATTTAGACCATGCGGTAAGATGCGATTTTGGCACAAACGCGAAGTTAAGGCTAACTTCCCATCATAGGCGGCGGAACGATTTGAGACAAGGGGGGGCACCATGGCTCAAGGAGCCAAACCTAGGGTACCCCCAAATCCTGTTTTCTCATCGGATTTAGGCCACTTATTTTTCGTCACAGCCCTGACACGATGATTTTTTTTTTTTTTACAAAACGAAAATGGCAGTTCACCCCCGTATGCAGGGGTGTAATTTTATATCTCTTTGTGGGGGCATATGCACCCACAATCCTGAATTATGTATGCCCACACAATGATGAAAATGCACCCACAAGTCTTTTACAAGGCTGCAAGCGTCCTTTCGAGAGTACGGTGCCCTTCGCATGCTCTAACGGCGTCCTCCTGACCGTCTCGCGTTCATGGATGATATAGCGTTTTTAATCACTCGGCGCCCTTCTTGGAGAATGGCGCACTTTTGACAGCACCGCGCCATTCTCATGGTCTAACGGCGCCCTCCTGACGTCTCGCGTCCTTAGGTCTCTGTTCACCGTGCATCCCTCGACTGTTCGGCGCCCTTCTGGCCTCTCAGCGCCCCTGAACCACATATAGCGTTTTCAATCACTCGGCACCCTTTTACGAGAATGGCGCCCTTTTCATGATCTCAATGCGCCCTCGTAACCATCTGGCGTCCCCACGTCCCCACCAACGTAGCACTACTGACTGTGCGGCGCCCTTCTGGCCTCTTAGCGCCCCTGGACCACATAGCGTTTTCAATCACTCGGCGCCCTCCCAAGAGAATGGCGCCCTTTTCATCGTCTCACGGCGCCCTCGTAAGTCGTAACCGTCTGGTGCCTCCACATTTGGTGCCCCTCCTACTGGATGGCGCCCTCTACAGCTTTTTACGTCCTTCCGGTCAGTTTCCACTTTTAAGCGTGTATTTGCTTAGTCAGACACGTCACTTGAAGCGCCATTCGGCTAGCAATGTTATCAAATTCGGTGTTAATTTAGGCTCCCACATAAAGAATATCTATCGCGCCCCAAAACGGCCTGGCGCCGGGCGCCCCTACAGCTGGGCACCCACAATCATTTTAGGAAAATTACACCCCTGCCCGTATGTGTGGTTAACTTTAAGCTGATCCCCAAGTACCTATGTATTGTGTTTGTCTCTTCCTTATTCTCGTTTGATAAATTCCATTAATCCTACATGTAACAAATTACCAAGAAGCCATCGCATGGTACTAATCAGTGGCGAATCCCAGGGTGGAGGTCACATGGGTCATGACTTAGGGCCTGGGGTCACCACATGCCTGCCAGGAGCACCACAGGCCTGACAGCCGACAGGGGCACCACAGGCCCGCCAGGGGTACCATAGGCCTAGCAGGGGCACCACGGGCCTGTCAGTGGCACCACAGGCCTGTCAGGAGCACCATCGGCCTAGCAAAAGCACTACAGGTCTTCCAGGGGCACCACAGACCTGCCAGGGGCACCAGAGGCCTGCCAGGGGCACTATCGGATTCGCAGGGGAACCACCGGCCTCGCAAGGGCACCATGGGCCTGTCAAGGGCACCACAAGCCTGTCGTTGGCAGTTTAGGATTGTCAGAGGCACCACAAACCTGTCAAGGGCACCTGCGTTCTAACAGGGGCACCACAAACCTGCCAAGGCCCAGGGACACCACAGGCTTAGCAAGGACACCACAGGCCTGTCAGGGCCCATGGGCACCTAAGTCAAGTCAGGGCCCACCGTAGGTTTGTCAGGGGGCAGGGTAGGTAGGTACCACAGTCTTTCCAGGGGCATCAGCGGCCTAGCAGGTGCAGGGGCACCAGTCATCACATGACTAACCAAAAATAAAGAAAATAAAAAAAAAACTGAAAATAGGGCACCACCAAAATTAAGAAGCCGAAATCCGTTGAGGTTTTAATTTTGGACATATAGGTAGGGGCACCACTTCGATTCATGGCCCTCCCCTTGGAGTTTTCCCCGAATCTGCCCCTAGTACTAATACATCAAATTTAAGGGGGGCACCTTGCTATTGGTGCCCCCCTTGCAGAATTCAAGGGGGGGCACGGTGCCCCGGTGCCCCCCCCGTTCCGCCGCCTATGCTTCCCATCAAATATAGTTACTTGTTCCGCTAACGTTCCTTTACGTTCCCTCGAGAGCCCGTGCTCTTCTACCATTTCTGTTTACCGCGATACTACCTTATGCTTACGTTTCTCTGACTAGTTATGCGCTCAGTGCCATCAGGTTTGATGGTCCGATACCATAGAGGGCCGCTGTGTGCCGCTGACAATGGTCTCGTGCCGTGGCGACAATGGCGCTCCTTCTCGGCGGCGCCTTATCAGGCTGACGCGCCGCAGCGCCAGTCGGCTCGGCATCCCGACGCCGCTCATGGGTATTGACAATGCCGGTCGGCCGGGTCTCTGCAACCAACAACAGGCGCGCCGTATTGATCGGTAGCGCGCCGCCACTGCCGCGGCTGCGCCATCAGCGCCGCGCCGCGTCAAAATTCGCCGCCCGCCGCGGATCCGCCCAG